GAAGGGGGGGGGGGGGGTCGGCTGAGTGGATCATTGTAACGGAACGATTCGCGGGCTTTTATGGTATCCTAGTTGCGAGCGTTGACAATGAGATAGTAGCTAATGGTGATGTCACCTGTGATTGACACCACTTTGATTCATCCTTTCGTAAGACGACTGGGAGTCCGATAGTGCCTAATGGCCTTTCCAATTGAACTCAGTCACTGGTGTGCCTCATTATTTCCTGTACCGGCTTACGCGATAACGAGTTATGCTCTGCCTTTTTTTTTTACCCAACCATAGGTATTCTTACGTATTGCTTTTTATTTTTGTACACGTCACTTGTTCTTGTGTGCCACTTCTTCCTGAGATTTGGCATCAGATTTTTGTACGATGAACGAACAGTACTAAGTTTATGGAAATTTTTTTTATATTCTTCAACTTAGGTTCATTTCATACTTTCAAGTTGATATGCGCTTATAAATTGTATGTTATTTTTTATATATGAATCAATGCTTTTTTTTTATGTGTCATAGGGAAAATTTGATATGCTGGCATGGGTTAAAATGGATGAAAAATTTTGTATTTGATTATATAAATTAAAGTTTGTGGTCGATAAGGTTATTTTAGATTTATATATTTTTCACTTACTGTGGGAATTGTGGAAGAGATGTATACTAGTGTAGAGATTGCCGTCCGACGGCTGACTGTTTCAACGTAATTTTGAGGTCTGTCAATTGAGAGAAGTTTGGCTGATTTTTCGAAATATTTTAAGATTTCTCGCTGCAATGATTTTATCTCTCGAACAATGACTATTAACGTTAACCTCTTAATGTTAATGTTATTACGACCGCCGGTTGCGCTTCAAGCGAAACATGCTTAACGTAGTTGCGACTAAATGAGTTTCTGCAAAGTGCTATTGAATACCACTTGCAGCGTCAGCCAAGATTCTCAAATGCCGTATACCTGTGTAATTGGGTAATTAGAATCTTATTTCAATCTCGCCTTTCATTCTGCCGTGAAATGCACTTCTGTTATATTAAAAGCAAAGTCAAGTTTTCAAAGATTCGCGAGACTACTTGAAACAGTTTGTTTGCGACAATGCATCCATTGTCAGCATGCAACTATGTATACATTGCTCCTTCCTGATGTCCTCAAAGCCACAAATGAACAATTTATACATATAGCGATAAAGCTGAATGTAATGAATAACCAAAAGACGAACGACTACCAAATGAGAATTACACAGTATCCATAGTTAAGATACACTGAAATATTTAAGATGATAATAAAAGATGATTAATTGAAAAACCAACAATTAAATGCCACTTGACAAATCACGTGAAAAGATATAGAAAATTTAACGACACAAAATTATTATGGCACAGAATAAAAAATTGCTCTTAAAATGTTTGCCCTTTGAAAAAAAAAAGGCCAAGAAAATTTAACTTTTAAAAATTCCCACGCGAATCTTTAATTAGCGGATCAATAATTTTCTAACTTTAATTTGAGCGTTCGTATGCTTCGCTAAAGGTAAAGGCGACTTAGCAAAAAGTGGTTGACGTAAATATAGTCCAGAAAAATGGATACCAACTACATTTACATAAGCGAAGGACGCTGCTGCATAAAGTGAATGTAATACAAGTTTCTATAAATATGTAAGCATTACGTTTTTTTTTAATACTTTTTTTTTGCAAGAATCCACCAGCAACACAAACTTTGTAATATGCACATTTTCAATCTGACCGACCGTCGCAACGCAAGGGTTTTTACTAACCCGTTGTTATTAGTCCCATAAGCGTAGTAGAAAAAATTTAAAAAACTATAACCTACGTCCATGAACGATTGAAGAAAGAAAAATGTTATTCACAATCGCAGTCTTGCTCGTGGTAAGTCGAAAATATTGCTGCGCTACAAACTGAAAGAACGTTATTACATAATACAGAAACAACATATCATTACACAAACTGCTGCACAGAAAGTTTCAAATATTTAGTTTGAAACGCAATAAATCATATTCCATGCGAAAGCTCGTACCCTATTATGAAAAGTAACTTTGTGGTTTTGCCTAGCCAGAGTGTACGTCCGCAAATGTGATTGAGCGACGGTAAGGACTGTGCCGAGCTGGAAGGGAGAATAAGTTGATGAACCCTGGATGCGCGGGGCAGGGTGTTCGGGGCTCGTGTAAGGGAACAATGGACGGATGGGCGGACCGTGTAAACGTGAATTTCACGTATCCACACTGGGACACGTATAGTGTCGACGACTCGAGAGGGCTAAACCAAAGGAAGGGGTTGACGATACAAATGGATGGAAATGATGGTTATTATGCGAGGAGTGCGAGAGAATAAAGAGGGTTAGGACGCAGGCGGAGAGACAGTCAATCGGGGACTAGGCGAAGGCAGGTAGGCAGGTATTGTAGGCACGCAGTCGGCTAAGCTAAGAATCAAGCAGTCAGACGGACCAACATCGAGCTTAGGTAGGAATCGTGTAAGGATGTCGCTGTGACTTACCTTCTGGCATTTGCGAGATCGCGGAAGCGACGGATAGCACGAGGGCGTCGAGCAGCCGCCGGAGAGATTGAACGAGACGGTGTGTGCAAGATCGCGGGTCCGAGTGGCGTCGCGGTGCCAGGCGTCGCGTGTTGCGCTGCGGCGCCGCGTATAACAAAACAATGGCGTCGCCAAAGCGCCAACGAAGGGTCGAGCTATTATCAGGAAGCACCGCCTGTCGAGCGGGCTTAGTTCAGCGATTGCGCCCCTCTTTAACGGCCCTGATTAAGCCACGCCCCGTTGACCACGCCCACTTTCATACCTCCGTCGACTTAGGTCCGTGATGTCACGTTGATCCAACCACGGAAGAGCTCGTTGCTCCAGAGAAGTGGGAATCAAGTCGCGTGATGTCACGGAAGCCTTTGGGGAAGTGGGGCGAGATGGGGCGTGGCTCGGGGCATCCCGACGTCGGCGGCGTCAGTGGGACGCTACGTGGAGAGGGGGTTGATAGCGTCGTGCGAGGATAACGTCAGGCCGAGGAGGAGGCATAGTTGCCCAGCCGAAGGCAAGGCAACGGACAGGACGAACACGAAAGGATGGATGGACCGACGGTGGCGGCGTTGGCGGTGGCGGCCACGACTGGGGTGGGGGCTGCCACCGGAATCGTGTGCTAGGGTTCGTCCGCATGGTGGAAGGCAGACTCTGGTGGTCAATCGGGCGCCGCGCACCACAGCAGCGACGCGTCACTGCACCCCGTTAGTTGCACGTGCTCCAGCGCACCGTCGCTCATCGGGCAACCAGGCGCGATAAACAGCACCCGCCAGCCGTGAAAGTTGCCACCCTCCGTTTCGGACACGTCGCGGCGACAGTGCGGAGTGTACGCCTCAGTGAAACTCGAGGTTCACCCTCGATCTCCGATCTTAATTAGCCTACTCTTCTAATAATCTATACGACAGACCCTCACGTGTTTGGTTTGGTGATCAGTGATCGCGAGATTTTTCGACGAGCCGCGTGCGTCGAGGTTTGTGCGACGTTTCGTGAACTCGGGCTTGCGGATAGTGCTTTCAGCTGGTGACAAGATCCGGCCTGACCACGGCCATTCTCGACACGGTACGTTATTCTTCACGTTTCGTTAACGTTTCATTGCTTGGGTACGATGTAAGAATTATACGTAGTTTGGATGCTTCTTTATTCGGTTTGGCTTGGTTGACTATCTGTTTATACTTCGGCTCAAGTATTTCGGGGAATCGAAGGACTTACGTAGTACGCGCTAGACAAAACAAAGACTTTGGTATTTTGTTATGCGTTGGGACCTTCTTGGTAATCTTTTTTTTTTATCTTTCATGAATCTTGTTTCAAAGAATATTTCTTATGGCCTCAACAAAAATAACAATATTTTTTATATTGCTGAGACAGTTTCGAGCAATGTTAAGAATTATGGACAGTGGGTTTAATGAAGTAGGGTCTTGCTTTTTTCTCAATTTTCTATGGGTTAAATGTATTATGCTCTATATACACAGATAAATGGCATCTATCGATGAAAATCATATTAAAGTCTTTAAATTGTAATACAAATCCTGAAAGCTAATAATAATAAATATGTACTGGATGAAAGTACACCAATACTGAAATCATTATCCCTCATATTCGTCACTACTAATCGCGTCCGACGGTACAGGTAAATTCGGATGTTCAACATCTACAGCATCATGGACCCTCATGATTCTTTAACTGTGTTAGAGAATTTTTATTAAATTTTGACAACCATATTATCTGCCAAATTTTGCGTGCACAAATTCTGCGTTCGTAGATAATCTTTGATTCAAAATAATGAATCATTATTTAACCAGTATTGTGTAATCAAAAGAAGATTAAAGTACAAATAGATTCTATTTTTATAAAGGAAAATATAATAGAACATAGGAGCAGTGGTATTACTTTGTATCCAAAAGTATTTTGTTCTTGTAAAAGACGTTATGACCAAAATATTGCAATTTTGTTTTTGCCTGAATTCACAAAAACTCGGACAGATTCGATACAGTTTCTGATGATTACCATGATCGTATACTGAATTAATTTCGGTTAAAGTCAGCGTCGCGATGGCGACGCCCGTCGGAAAAACACAATACAATACAATCCCTCATTCGGTATACAATGAAATCGTGTAAAACTATGCTAAGGATAATATATTTAGACGCGTAATATTGTATTCCTTGCACAGAAAAATGTTTCATGACATATTCTGTTTGTTAGATGAAAATATATAGACTCGAGATACGTTTAATTATGATGATACAACAGATTTACCAACTATCCTGACATTTTGTCACACTGTCTGAACAACAAGCAAAATAATTTTTGTCTTTATATTTTTATTCTGTTCCTTATACGTGGTGAGACTGTGTATGTAATCTCGAAAGAAATTGCATAACAAGCATAACAAACAAACAAACGAGATGTACAAGTATCGACATCGTATTGACATTAATGTCAAATCAGGTTAATTCTGATTGATTGACAAAAATGCTCACGGGGATATTATAGCCCGTGCAATTTTTTCGTGATGAACATTTCCAAAGTAAAATAGAGAAATAATACAAATTGTAACACGATGGTTAATGCACAGTCGAAAAGGAGTTAATTTACATTGCAAAAGTGTTTTATGCCGGAAGAAGAGTGATATGCGGAGAACACCTCTATAACAAGAAACCTGATTGCCTGCTCTGTGATACAGTGAAAATCTCTAGAAAATTTAGTAAAAAGCTCCCGTTTTTATGTTGAAATTTTTTTAAATCCTGAAATGAAAAAAGGCACTAGTGAAATACGAATCTCTGCCGTGAAATATTTGCTAATTTAACGAGTGATAAAGAGAAGTACCCATGTGGAACTTGGGAAGTGTACGTAGGGTTGTGAGTAGGTCCTGTAGGTTATACGTCGGCTGCGTTCGGATCTTCGTGCACAGACGTAACGAAGTAGAGACTACGCGAACTCTGCGCTCTTGTGTTGTGAATGTCACGTGAGTGGCGTCGTTACAACACTCGCAGTTTGCTTCTCCACGATCTTTTGTATATTTCGCTAGCGTGCAGAATAGTAATTTCGTTACGATCTCCGGCTCTTTGGTCGGAAGCTATTACACTCGAGTCAAAGCCGCGTCTTCCTGTTCGTTTAATGACAGCCGCAAATCACTCTTTACAAAAGTGCCGTGTAATTTTAATCGCTTCCTAGATAAGAGTAAGATGTATTTTTCAACCGTTTCGTATTGTCGCTATGCGACTTTTTAATCGATATTAAATTCACGTTAGTTAATTTTCTTTAGTTTTCCATCGTATCAACATGTAGTACATTGACATTTTTTTTACTGATGATGTTTATTGAAATGTTTTTAAAAATTCCATCTAGTTCGTATTTCAACAACGTAGTGGTAGTAACGAAGTGCTGTGTTTGGGCTACTACTTAATTTAATTATTGATTTGTTCTAGTGAGACTCGTAAACGTGTTTATGGTGATATAGTCGAGGAGTCTAGCATGTAATTTTTAATCTTAAAAAAATATCTTGGGGTCTTTCGTGCGCAGGCAGTTGCAAGTCTTCAGCTTTTCTGTGAAAATTGGCATTTAAAACAAATATATATTTGTGTATTATTTTTAGTTAAACACGCTATCGAATAGTTTAGTAGACATGTCAAATGAATACTATAGAATTTTTTCAGATTTTGCATTTCTTGTTAACGTTGATAAAAAAAGCTTTTGGATACGAAAAACCTCGGTGTATGTTTGAAGACACGGCTTGTAGCGTGACTTTCGTGGACGAAAAATTTAATCGATAAAATATTAGTAAGTCGATAAATTAAGAATGTCCTCCCTTCACAAATTGTCTCGCATAGCGATTCGCCATTTCTACAAGGATAATAAATCTCGTCGTATACTCTTAATCCAGAAAAATACAGCAGTATTTTTGAATTGTCATCTAATGATTTCTCTTCGTAATAAAAATTTGTTTCATTGCATTAATTGTCACGTTAATTCAGCATCGGACGACGTTGTACATGTCATGTCATTACTTATCCAGTATTTCTTTGATCACTTATTCAAGAGTTTAAATTTTAGCCATTCTAAACTTTTTCAGTAAAGTTAACCAAATTGGAACAATCCGATGCTTAGGAAATAATACATGGACGCGTCTGTAAGCCTAGGGAATCGAGCCAGGCAGTCTGTTTTGTTTTCGTTGATTAAATTAAACTGAGTTAGCTGTCCCAGGCTCGCGAGGTTTGCCTTTGTTCAGCCATTACCTTTTTCTGTCCTTTACTCCCTCACTCTCCTATCTCCAATTTTCTGTATTCTCTTGCAAATTTGACTATATTAATTTCCATCCTTGTTTTCGGAATACCACCCTCGCGTTACTTTCAATTCTTCGAATTAACTACTTATTTATTATTTCCATGATTAATTTGATTTCAGCACTGTGTTAGCGTGGCCGGAGGTGGCGGCGGCGGAAGCGGAGGCAGCGGTGGAGGCGGCCGGTTGAGTCTGCACTTGCGTCCGTGCAGCTCCGGCAGCGGCGTCGGAGGCGGTGGCGGTGTCGGAAGCGGAAGTGACGGAGGACCGTCCGAATACCCGCCAAGCGCTGCGGCTGCGAGGAGCAGGGAAGCGGCGGCGGCGGCGCTGCACGCAGCAAGGACGTTGCTGGGCGCGGGGGTGGCTAACCCTTGCTCACCCACCCCCGAGTCGCCCTTCTGGAAAATGCCCCATAAAGGTCAGTGGAAAGTTGAACCTCTGCACTAAAGACTCGTATATATATGTAGCTTCCTTGACTCCGACACAGATTATACCGGTGTGACACCAGTGCTTCGCGATTCTCAAAGTTTATGAAAAAATTGAAATTACATAGAAAAGTTAAAGATCGTACAAGTCCTGTGTACAGGACTCTTCCGATTACTATCATAATGAACTTTCCAGAATCTTCGTAAAATAAGTAAACGCGAACAACTGATTTTTTTAAAGCAGATTACACTTACTACAAAATATTTATGATATTCACAGGAGCGAGTTAGACGGTTCTTTTGGTATTTTCTACACACGATATATGGTCTAACGTAGGATCATATAAAATCATGAAATAAAGAGCATAACTGAATCTGGATGAAATACGGTATTTTATACATTGAAAATCCCTGACTGTCTTTTTGTGTTTTTGAATTGAAAAAATTTCATTGGCAGTTTAATATATGAAAAAATGTTATTTTTTTAAAATCAGTATACAAAGTGATAACCTTTTTTTTTATACATTCATTCTATCGCAACGATGCCATAGTCGAACTTTTAACAATGACGTTTTGAAATACAGCAAAACATATTGCAATGTAAAATACGTAAAAACAAAGTAGATGATTATGCACCCCAGTGTGTATACGGACTGATAAATCGTGCAAGCCGCAGTAACAACTGATACCTAGACTATTATTCGTGTAAGCCAGGGTAGTATAATTGCTGACAAGCTGGATATACATTCCTATACAATGTCCAATAAAAATGAACGGTACCAAACGTACGTTTGGTGAAAACACGATTACGTGCAGTGCTTACAAGCGCCAACGGACACTGTACAGTCGTGTACAGATCGGTTGTTATCGCGACTCGATGAATTCCTTTGATATTATAAGTTTTCTCACATTCTTCGAATCGATTACCCAACTTTACGGCAATTGACGTTATTATCGTTGAGGTAGAAGAAAAAAATATTATACCTCGTATCGGCAACGTTGCTTTTTAACCCATACGTTTTATCTTGCCCCTGCTTTGCCCCGTAGCTTTTTAGGAATTCTTGATGCAGGTTTATCTCGAAGCAGGTTTAGTGATGTATTCTTGTTGGTCCCTATCTTCATAGAGATACAAGAGATCGGCCGACGAATTTTTACTTTGCTCTTTGATTGATCGATAATTTACATAGGACGTCATTATTATGATTATCAATTTTTAAAACTCGAGGGACACGTACCATCGTTATTTGCAGCATAGATTCAGAATAATTAGTACTAGAATTTCGATAATTTGGTCAAGATGCAACGGTGCACTTTTTATTTCGCAACATGTTTTTTAATTTTCGTTAGGATTAATTGCATTTGCGTTTAAAGAAATTTTGAAAAAATTACCCGAAATTCACTTAGCGACAGTAAGCATACGTATTACCAAGAGTATTGGCAGAACATGGATTGCATTGAATTAATAAAAATATTGTGTATTTGAAATTATTTTAACGAATCTAGATTTTATAATCATATTTCACTAGATACAAGTTTTTATACGAGATAAGCATATAGTCGGATCAGCTGATTACGTAGATACTTGATGGGGGTTTGCGTTGAAAAATTTTAAACAAGGGCTATAAAATATCAATTAATATAATTGAAATTATCACTGTCATAGAAATATTACGTTACCCTTTTTTTTTTCTACAAATATTTCGTAAGTCTTATGCGACTTCGGATTTTCATTTTTCTACTGTACCTATGGGAATGCACGATATCACGTATATATCTGTATCGTAATTTAGGTAAATTCCAACCAGATGTTTATTGGCAGTTGGTATCCGGGCAGGTGTCACGCGTAAAAATGTCCAGCATGCCGCTGAGATAAAGTTACCTAAGTATTGAGAATCACTATGAAGTCATCAGAGCGTGAAACGTTTCACCAGATGAACTCACGGGCATACCAATTATGAAACTTCCGAAGAAACAATTTCGCGTCCTTCATGGAACGTCAGTAATATTTTATTTCATAAAAGACCATTGGTCGAAATTTAAATATATCACATGTAAGTTAAATACTTGTTACATACGTAAGGATATGTTTCCATTAGATCATCGAATGACATGCAAATCCCCAGTTGTTTCTCACGGTAAACAATCACCTACTGCTCCTGGATCGTGTTCACGCATGGCGATTCCCTAAAGGCGAAGTACTCGAATTGCCACCGTGAAGAAATTCTAACCCTAAGCAAAGACCAACCCTTCGCAACCCTAACCCGTGGTAAAATTCCATTCGGAATGGACTTGTTAGCTTTCAGGATAATTTTTAGTACACGAAGAAAAAATATTTGCAAATTCTTATATCTATGTATGGTGACCCATATCTGCGTATCCGTAGAAATCAGAAGACAATCAAAATGGAAAAAAAAAAAAAAAAGCATTGCGTCATATCAATTTCAATGGTCAATGGTTCCACGCGCGTAAAGTCATTAACGTATTGTAAAAACGAAATTTTTTTTTGCTCATCCTCATAAAGCGTACGGAATTTGAAATCAAAGATTATTATTCACGTATGTGTACGGTAGGATTCTCGACCGTCGTATGTAGTAAACTTTGAGATGATTAATGCGCCGAGTTTTAATCCAGGCAAAATTTTTGTTTGGGAAAAAAAACATAGCTACGTAATTGAAAGCGTGGCTGAAAGCAATGTTACCCGGACTCGATTGTGCGTCGGTATACGCGATGATCACATCGAGCACTTAATCCTTAGTGTGTATTACGAAACGTGTAACTTTTGTAAGGTTAAAGCGCGCGCGCGCTTATACGTGCGCCTGATCTGCTAAAACTGTAGGACTTAATGCTTGGATATTGTAGAACTGAATAAAAGATTATGAAAGCTGTGGGCAAAATTTTTTTGGGAATATGGTTTTTTAAAAATGTAATTGCATTTTTTTGTAACTATTAGGGATTAAAGGTTAACGATTTTACGAGTCCAAAAAATTGTTTTACCCTTGGAAAATTTTGAGTTTTCGTAGTCTAATTTTTTGTATGCGTAAATAAGTATTTTTTTTATGTTAAAAAAATTTTTTCCTGCAAATACTTTCTTATGCGAATAGCCAGTCTACGAGTTCGATGTGTTTCTTTTTTTTTCTGACAGGTCGATAGCAATGAAGCCGCACATGGCTTACCATAGAATCACTAAAACATATGGTTAGGCAGAAAACTATAATATATTTTAGTACAAAGTGCTCCACTTACATACTTCCAGCGCAAATCTTATGCGAAGCCATTAATGGCTGATTGAAAATTTTATAGATTTCAATCTGTCAAAAAATACATTGCACCTAATGGACGGAGTATATGCACACGAGACATAACGACACTAGCTGTAAAATTTTGATAATACCACATGTATAAACGCATATACCATATTTTGTGATATTCAGAATATCGTCATGAATAACGACCGGAAAAAAAAAACCGAGTAAATATGGTTAAAGCACTGTCCATTATTTTCGAAAAATTGTTGATTCGTCAAATCCTTACGAATTCATGATAAATAAGCGTTAAAATTTTTACCGAAAATTTTTCGAAAATTTTTCAAAACAAGCATCATCACTTTAATATACAATAATAGAAACACGAGTAAAGCTAGTAAAGAAAAAAATCAGTTTATCATACCAAAAAGCACAGTTTCACGTAAGCTCATACTATTTCATAAAAGTAAGCTGATCCCGAAAATCGATTAACAACCCGTCAGTACCTAGCAAAGTAGTTCGAAGGGCCTTGCCAGCACGATAATACTAACAAAGTCCTGAGTGATGTTCACAAGGAAGCCCATAGTGTAAGCAAGAGACTGGAGTCGCACAAGTAACACGTAACGCGTAGGTAAGAGAAGATCGTACGATCGTACGTGCGCCCACGGGTTTAAATCCGTCAGAGTGCGGGCCTGCGGTTACCCCAGGTTAGCCTGTAACCCTACACGCCGTTGGTTGGCTTCTGTCGGGCAACAGCCGCTTACAGTCCCGTAACCTAAGGGTGGCACCTTGCTCATCGCACCTACGGTATCTTCAGCGTTATCCATCCCCACGTTGCACCCCTGTAGGCCATCGATGCGCGGCTATGGAGATAGATGGATGCACGGTTAGGAGGTATATAGGTAGGTAGGTAGATAGATAGGCAGCCAGGCAGACAGACAGGCAAGGCAGGGTTGAGAGACATACATATATATATATAGCTAGATGATTAACTCCAGGTCAGGTTAGGTAGGAAGGCTTCGGCACGGAGAAAAAGAGATACTAACCCTTTATAACACGAGCACCTTCCTCCTAGTAATTTAGTCCAATAATAACTTTGCGGCTGATTTCTATAGGATCGTACCAGGTAGCTACGGGCTGTCACGGTACAAGAACCATAACAATATGGGTTAAAGGAATAAGAATAGGCGCCCCTCTCGATCTCAAAGTGTATACCTACCCAGAGTCGGGGGCCGTCGCATGGCAGACAATGGTTTCTCGGCGTTGCGGCACCGGCGCGTGCGCGCACCCTCGAGCATTCTCTAGGTACTTCGTACGCCGATGTTCCCCCGTGCCTTCCATCCTTGGCCAATCTTCTCGCTCTCTCTCTCTCTCTCTTTATCCTTCACCCCGCCACGTTTACTCTTCCCCCCTCCTATAACTATTGTAACCCTCCTAAGCCATAGCCATTCGAATCAAACGCTCGCTTCACGAGAGCACTTTATTTTGTGTTCGCTACAAGATTTGTTAATGGTTTATTCCCGGTGCAAGTCGCCCTCGGCAATGGCGGTAGATTACCTGCTGGAGTACCTAGGGGGGTGCAATAAGCGTCGAGCCAAATGGATTAATACACGCATAAGGGGCTGCTCGTTCATCAATAACTTTACACGTGGTTTTTTGTACGAAGGTCGTGAAAATTTGTGTTCGGCTATTTTAGGGGGGCGTTTTCTTTTTTTCTTTTCTTTGATTCCTTCTTTGTTGCTCTCGTAATT